TCTACATATTCACTAATGAATTAGTGGCTCTTGTCATTAGTAAAAGTGTTAGGGGCAGACAGAATATTGGGGACCAGCTACAATGGTAAGAACTATAATCCTGCTCTGTTCACCATGATGGTTCTGTTCTAATTAGAGAAAGCGCCTTCTCACCCGGCAGGGAGTGTACGCCCGGCACATGGCAGCTAGCGGGCATGCAGGCCATCCTCCTGTCCCGAGAGCTGCCTCTCATTATGGAAAGGTTGGCGACCTCGTGGCTGAGACCATCTAGTCCCGGAGGCACCTGCTCTTTACACCCCATCCTATTGCCTGTAACTGGTCCCGGGCGCCCAGAGGTGCCTGCCCTCTGAGAACACCCCCTCCCCCCTGCCCAGCCCGCATGACTTGTAACCTGTAACGAGTGTCCCGTGCCCACTTTCCCATCCCTGCAATTCCTACTTTCCCACGTAACCTTTGTCCTTCTGCCCAATAGAAGCAGCCAGCTTATGGGTGAGGCAGAGCAGATTTCTGTGGGAGACCTGCTGCTCTCCCACGCTTCTAACATTATTGGAATAAACACTCATATGATTCAACCCTGTCTCTGCTGAATTGGCTGAAGTACTGACAGCCAGCCGGGGCTCCTTGGTTGTCTGTTCACAAAAGTTTATTTTTAAATTTAAATAAATAAATAAATATATATATATATATATATATATATATATATATATATATATATTCACCTACATTTATCAGATCAAAACCAACCCGGTAAGTCTCCCCTCGGCCCCGGCCAGGGGGAGGGCGCAATATATATATATATTCTAGAAAACTCTACTGAGGTACATATGTGGATTGGTAGTAGTATTTTTCAGGTTAGGAGGACACAGCATTTCAAAGATAAATTTACCCAAAAAAGGAAAGCTTTAGCACCGTTTTGATCAGGCTACTTAGAGAATTTCTTTGTTGCAAGCAGACAAAATCATTTGTAATTTTAAGTAAAAGGAGTGGTCATAACAGAAATTATTTTGAAAAATAACTGGGGTGGGAATTCACTGCCAAATATTAAAATATTTTTCAACAGGAGAAACAACTGTAATACTCCATCATTACAATAAAAACTGAAGAATTAATTTTAAGTGAATACTCAATAGATGATAAATTCAGTTCCTCAAATCAGTGGGGACATATTTGATGTGTTGTCCTGATTAACCAGTTGGTTGTTTTTTCAAAGTTTAATCTCTATACCTGGATCGTTGGAATTCTTTAGGTGATTCTACCCATTATTAATTAGTAAGACATAATAGGATAGGCTCTGCTGTTGAAAATGAAAATTGGTACCTTTGGTGGAAGAGAATTAAACAATCTGCAAGACCCTAGAATTCTCTGCCTTGTTACCATCATGTTCTGTGGGGTGTAGCTCTCCTGGAAATTAAGGAGAGAAACGTTCCAAAATGGCCTAGGCTTGTGCAAACTTAGAGAAAGGAAACACGTGTATTTGCAGAAATGCTTCCCCACCGCTCTCTAGTGCGTCTTCTACAACAGCGATTCGACCTTCGCTTGCACGTACCATGACGGGAACAGGTTAAAAGTCGCTGCTCCACAATGTGAAGGTTTTGTTGTTTAATTTGGATGGAGCAGGAGACACGAGGGATAAGAAAGCAAGGAGAAAAGCTGGCCGCTGCTGAGCATTAAAAAGAATTGCCTGAGGGCGGGGCGGGGCGGGCAGGGGGGAGAAAGGGAGGACAGAGCGGCGGGTTTTAGCTCTTAGGCCCCGCCCAGCTCTCGGGTTTCACTCCGGTCCGCCCGCGGCCCTATAAGAAGGCGCTGCAGACGCCGCCGGCGCATTGCTGGTCTCCGATCCTCTGGCCATGTCCGGACGCGGCAAAGGCGGGAAGGGCCTGGGCAAGGGCGGCGCCAAGCGCCACCGCAAGGTGCTGCGCGACAACATCCAGGGCATCACCAAGCCCGCCATCCGGCGCCTGGCGCGGCGCGGCGGCGTCAAGCGCATCTCCGGGCTCATCTACGAGGAGACGCGCGGGGTGCTCAAGGTCTTCCTGGAGAACGTGATCCGCGACGCCGTCACCTACACGGAGCACGCCAAGCGCAAGACGGTCACGGCCATGGACGTGGTCTACGCGCTCAAGCGCCAGGGCCGCACCCTCTACGGCTTCGGCGGCTGAGGCCCAAACCACTGCCTTCGACAGCAAAACCAAAGGCCCTTTTCAGGGCCGCCCACCCCCTCTCGGAAGAGCTGCGCGCTGCCCGCTCTACGGGGAAATGAGGCAGGAGTGACAAGTTCGCTCTCGGGGTTCCAGCGCCGGGATCTGGAGGTTCGTGGTGGAAACTCCTACCCAGGGGCCGGGAAGGGGCTCAGCCACAGGCTCCGCCAGAAAATCCATGAGTCGCACCTGGTGGGGTGCCGGGGGAAGTTCTGCAAAGATTCCCGCTGGCGCCCACGGAGACCCAGATACATTGACACGGGACGTTTCACCGGGATGCTGGCTCCCTCCCCACCTGGTCGCGGGCGTCACGGGAAGGTGATCAGGTGGAGCCCACCCGTCTCCCGGCCTGTCGTGCGTCCCTGTGGAACTGCCTCAGGGATGTGCAGTCTCGGTCAGCCCCTCCCTACCCCCAGGCTAAGCAGTGGCGTCGCTGTCAGCTCGGGGCCAGGGTTCTAATTGAGTCTTCACTTCCTGTTCCTCGGGCCTCAGTTTGCATTTGAAGGAAGAGTCGCCTCCCACTTCATCTTCCTCTTAACCACCTGCTGTGCGTCATGAGACGGGTTTCTGTGCCTTTTTGGTTTGTAACGGGCCATTTAAACACTACGACATGGTTACAAAAAGCTTTTGAAACATGTCTTCGGATTGAACTCACACACTCTCTTTGTGTAGCAAAACCGAAGGCCCTTTTCAGGCCAAATGTTCCTGGAGAAAAGGAAGTGACGACTGGCCAAGGTAAACTTCAGTGCAGTGCCCGCTGGAACCGTGGGCCGGACAGTTTTCGGTGCCCGGCCGCGAGTTTTGGACAGAGGGTGGGGCCTCTCTTCCCACCCCCACCCCACCCCACCCCACCCAGGTTTTTGGCTTCGGGTTGGAACTGCCTGGGGCCGGATTAACCCCGAGTCAGGCCTGGGGTCTAGGCGGCCCTGCCCATCGTTAATCTTCCTTAAATGTATTAATGCCTCGCGTTGGGGCCTGAACAGAGGAATGCGCTGCTGGTTTCCCGGTGTTTTGTTTCACAAGCGGATGCCCAGAGCTCTACGGTGGGTCTTTCTCAACATTTAGCTTAAAGATAAAAGGGCCTTTCAAAGTGAGAGGCAGCAAACATTTACTTGAGACCACTAAGGCAGGAGCCCAGATCGTGTCCCGATAAGGAGACAAACAGGAATTGAGGGGCAAGGGAAGGGGAGCAGTTACTCCCGCCGCAGGAAGGCGTTGCTGCCGCTACAGAAAAGTTAACAGTGACGCTAGGTCTAAACGTGTTTTTCTTTTCATTCTGTCACCCATCAGCTCAGTACTTAACAATGTTTGCTTTCTTTTCCTGTCAAGCAGTTCTCTGGGATACAGTGTTGCCCTAGGTTAGGTCTAAGTGTAATTTTGCCGCTTTAACCCTTCAAGGTTTGAGGTGTAAGTAGCTCCAGCTCCATTTTGGGTGTTTTTGTTTGTTTTGAGGGCACATTTGTTCAGCTGGGGCCAGTGAAAGCACAGCTGTGGCTCTGAAATTATTACAGAAAGAAATGAGCCCCTGGGGCTGGCTTTCGCTCCCTGGAAAGTCAGAGGACGCGGCCAGGAAGATAGATTCAGGGGTTCGCCTGGATGAGCCCTGCTGCCCATAGCTCCCCTGCTGCACGTCTGTGGGGACCCTCCGTCTCATTTTAAAGCAGGTCCCTTTCTATTTGTTCACAAACTACACCACACATTTGGGGCAGCCTTCACTCGATAAAATAGCCACTTTCCCGACATTTGCCTCCATTACTATTACAAATACTAGAATGTATGTCAGGCAAAGAAAAGATGTCAGTGAAACACCACTTAGTTCGATGTTACCGCCAAAATTAACCCAAAAGCAGTTAAACACTGTGTCTCAACAAGAGACCCAAGCTCTCCGTGCCTTGGAATTCACCAGGTCCTTACCACGGTGCCTTACCACGGTGTCCGTCCGCTGCCGGTTTTGTTTTCTAAATTTAGATGCACATGCCCCTAGGCAGTACGTAGCAGTTTCACGTCCAGACACCTTAAAGTACTTAGTGCCTGTACTTCCCCCCAGACTCGATGTGTTTACAGCTCCAACACTGACGACTGAGTGGCTCTGAAAAGAGCCTTTGGGTCAGGAGTGAGGCCGCGTGCGCGCGCGTCTACTTGGAGCTGGTGTACTTGGTGACGGCCTTGGTGCCCTCGGACACGGCGTGCTTGGCCAGCTCGCCGGGCAGCAGCAGGCGCACGGCCGTCTGGATCTCGCGGGACGTGATGGTCGAGCGCTTGTTGTAATGCGCCAGGCGCGACGCCTCGCCCGCGATGCGCTCGAAGATGTCGTTGACGAACGAGTTCATGATGCCCATGGCCTTGGACGAGATGCCGGTGTCGGGGTGCACCTGCTTGAGCACCTTGTACACGTACACCGAGTAGCTCTCCTTGCGGCTGCGCTTGCGCTTCTTGCCGTCCTTCTTCTGCGCCTTGGTCACCGCCTTCTTGGAGCCCTTCTTCGGGGCGGGCGCCGACTTGGCGGGCTCGGGCATGGTCGGGAGCTGAGCGGAGGTGGTGGGCGAGCGGAAAAGTAAGAGCAGAGCACGCTGTGTCCTGTTTATATAGAACCTCCCATGCAAATAAGGTGATAAACCAGAGCCCTGTGTTGGCTCCGGAGAGCAAGCTCAAAACTTAGCTCTGCCCAATCAGAGCGCCAGAATCCCAAACTTGCACGTTCACTGGTTTAGAAGAAGCTGAAACCTGAACCAATGACACACCTGCTTCTTCGCGCCACAAACGTTTATAAAAAGTGCCGCCCACGCACTTTCACTTTTGCAGCCCCTTGCAGTGAAGTTTGTAGCCAGAATGTCCGGCCGCGGCAAGCAGGGCGGCAAGGCGCGCGCCAAGGCCAAGACGCGGTCCTCGCGGGCCGGGCTGCAGTTCCCCGTGGGCCGCGTGCACCGGCTGCTCCGCAAGGGCAACTACGCCGAGCGCGTCGGGGCGGGCGCGCCCGTGTACCTGGCGGCGGTGCTGGAGTACCTGACGGCCGAGATCCTGGAGCTGGCGGGCAACGCGGCGCGCGACAACAAGAAGACGCGCATCATCCCGCGCCACCTGCAGCTGGCCATCCGCAACGACGAGGAGCTCAACAAGCTGCTGGGCAAGGTGACCATCGCGCAGGGCGGCGTGCTGCCCAACATCCAGGCCGTGCTGCTGCCCAAGAAGACCGAGAGCCACCACAAGGCCAAGTAAGGAGAAAGCCCGTTAGGAGCCTGGACGACAAAGGCTCTTTTCAGAGCCACTGACACTTTCAGAAAAAGCTGGGACGGTAACTTGTCCTATTCTCTCGGCAGGAGTTTCCACTTAGCATTTAACTCCAGGGAAAGTTAGAGTTTGATTTGTTTACTTAAAATATGCGGGCGTTCCTGAAGCCACGTTGGTAAATTCCTGGCCCTGTTTCTTCGGGACAGCTGTGTTCATGCCCTGAATTCCAGCAGGTGAGGATACAGCAAGGAATGCAACCTTGGGAATTGCCCGCCTAGGAACCCAGGGGGGAAAACAAATAGGCATAATGCAGCTGTTTAGACAGAGAATGAGTGGAGGTAAACGCTGTAGGTAAAGGCCCCGCATGACCAGAGTCCTACCTAACGGAGAAGAGGAGTGAGCCCAGCAGATGTTCGGGGAAGAGGACGCCAAAGAGGTGAAAACGCAAAGGCCTTGACAGGAAGTGTGTTTGGCCCGTGGGAACAGTCCATGAGGCTATGAGGTCAAAGGTGGGCATGGGGGTGAAATGGGACCATAAATATAGGACTTTGTGGGGTGTGTACATTATGCACAAGTATTTAGCTCGGTCGGTGTGGCTCCGTGGTAGAGCACTGACCTATGAACCAGGAGGTCACAGTTCTATTCCTGGTCAGGGCACATGCCTGGGTTGTGTCCCCAATGTGGGGCGTGCAGGAGGCAGCCAATCCATGATTCTCATCATTGATGCTTCTCTCTCTCCCTTCCTCTCTGAAACCAAAAAATATTGAATAAAATAAAAATTACATTAATCCTGATCTCTGACATAATAAGTTTGATAATACAAATTAGCTATGGAATGCAACCCACTTTTTAAAACAGAAATAGTATTAATGTTAGCATGTGGTTTACAACCTGAAAGATTTGAGGGGAAATGGTTTGTAATTTAATACATAGGTCTGTTTGTTGCTTGTCTTGAAAGCCTGTTGAGTAAAATGATAACATACAACAGACCCCTCCACACAGAAACACCATGATGCAATGAGGCAAGTTGGGTTGTATGGAAGCAGGTGCTGAGAAGGAGTTTGAAGTGGAAAATGATTATCAGGTCCCCAAATCTGTGAAGGGAGGAGAGTGTCAGACTGACACAGGCCAGATAAACATAGGGAGCTCTGGAGCCAGTATTGTCTGTTAAGAGGTGCCCCCACATTAGCTCTGTCCCTGGACCAGCCCTTACCTCCCCACATTGCCCATCACTGGATGTGGGAAGGACCGGGAAGGAGCTGTCTGCACTTGGCCGGTGAGTCTTTCCTTCAGGGGGAAGTCTGGGCACTGCATTCGCATCCCTGAAACAGGTACATTAACATGAATAGAAAGACCAACATGGTGCCCTAGCTGGTTTGGTTCAGTGGATAGCTCGTCGGCCTGTGGACTGCAAAGGTCCCGGGTTCGATTACAGTTAAGGGCACATGCCCAGTTTGTGGGGTCGATCCCCAGTAGGGGGGCGTGCAGGAGGCCGCTGATCCATGATTCTCTCTCATCACTGATGTTTCTATTTCTCTTCCTAACTCTCTGAAGTCAATCAAAATATATAGTAAAGATCAACATGGAGCATTGTCTATATTGGCCCTTTTTTAAAAAACAATATTTTTATCTCCACACTGGGGATCGAGCCCACAACCTAGGAATCGAACCGTGATCTCCCTCCTGGTTCCTAGACCACTGAGCCACGCAGGCAAATCTCAAACAAAAGGACCCCCAGTTTGCCTTCGAGGGGGAGGGAATCCTGTGGTCACTGGTCCCACCGGGGATCAGACCCAGGCCCTTCGGTGTGTAAAGCAGCCGTGCCTACGCTGCACTAAGGAACCACGCACTCAGGGTGTCTGTGAGTCAGTACAGTAGGAAATGTTTTTGTTTTTTTGTTGTTTTTTTTTTAATATATTTTATTGATTTTTTTACAGAGAGGAAGGGAGAGAGAGATAGAGAGTTAGAAACATCGATGGGAGAGAAACATCGATCAGCCGCCTCCTGCACATCTCCCACTGGGGACGTGCCCGCAACCCAGGTACATGCCCTTGACCGGAATCGAACCCGGGACCTTTCAGTCCGCAGGCCGACGCTCTATCCACTGAGCCAAACCGGTCTCGGCATGGAAATGTTTATAATTATTTAACTCAAACATAAAGTTGGTGGGTGTTTGGGTTTTTTGGAGCTAAATTCCATTTCCCGTGCATCTCACCCACAAGTAAGTTTGAAATCGCTTCAAATAGAGTCATTGTAAACACACGAGAAAGAATTATCTAAAGCCATTCTTGACCCTGTGATCGCTTCTATGTCCGGGATTATGTGTTCTGAGTGTCCACCGCGCTGCGGGGCTGCCTCTTACGTGGCGGGGCCTGCACAGCCCACGGCAGACGCCAGGCGCGGGGCCAGTGGTCCCCATAAGCAGAAGCCACCGCTCCCGGGCTGCCCCGCATGCGGCTGGTCAGCACCGACGGATGTGGAATTCTGTGCATTAAGACGAAGGGAGCGCAGCCGTGTTGCTCAATGATGGAGCGTCGGCCTATGAGCCAGGAGGTCACGGTTCGATTCTCGGTCAGGGCACGTGCCCGGGTTGCAGGCTCGATCCCCCTTCCTCTCTGAAATCAATAAGATATTAAAAGAGAGAGAGAGAGAGAAAGATGGGAGGGAATTAAATAGAGGATGCCACCCCAAAATACATGTGCCCCTGGCATTTTGATTATTTTGAATGTGAAGCACTTGAAAACAACAGATTTTTTTTAAAAGGCATCCTGTGCAATTACATAAAACTGAGGAGGCTTAGATAACAAGGTCACCCTCACCAGACACCCTCACCAGACCAAAGCTTTGGGCCCTGGAAGACACTCCAACAGAATGTCACATACAGACCAGACGTGCATCTAGGTCTCCAGGTGGATCCATGTCTCGAATGGGAAAAAGAAAACCTACACATTTTTTTGAGAGAATATGTATAACCTAGTAACAGGAAGACCTGTTAAGCCTAACCTCAAAAAGTGCAAGTCCTGCCCTAGTGGCTTGGCTCAGTGGATAGCGCACAGGCCTGCGGACTGAAGGGTCACGGGTTTGATGCCAGTCAAGGGCATACGCCTGGGTTTCCGGCTCAACCCCCAGTAGGGGGCTGGCAGGAGGCGGCCAATCAATGATCCTCTCATTGATGTTTCTATCTCTCCCTCTCCCTTCCTCTCTGAAATCAATAAAAATACTTTTTTAAAAGTTCTGATCACAGGAACAACAACAAAATACAAGTCCTAAGTGGGAGGGGAGACAAATTATTAACAAAATTAGGCTCCTGCCATTAACTTTCTCCCCCGACAAAGCTGATAGGACGCGAGGGCAGGCACTATTGCAAGGTCTAACATTCCCGGCAGACTGACTAGTCTGCAGTACACGCCTGCACACCACCATGAAAAAGGCAGCCTCCATTTTTACTGCGGCCCTAATTCTTAAAGTAACGCTAACGGTGGGTGACATCTCAATGTTTTCAATGATGTTCTTCAGGGGATGTTTCTTTCGAAAAGAAACATCAGCCTCAGTAAGAACGCGGCAAACGATAAGCGTGAATGTGCTGAAGCTGCAACTCGACGGCTGAGCGTCTGCGTCTTTAAAGAACGTGAACACAAACCTTAAAAGGCAGCGATGAGAGTCCTCACTCCCACCTCCTCCATTACGAAGTCGGAAGCGGGGCAACGTGAGCCGGGCAGGCTGGAGGGACACGCGGAGCCGGCGGCGGGTGGACAGCGGAGAACCCACGGGAGCTAACCCTTCTGCTCCTGCCTGTGTATCCACGCGGCCCTCACACAAGCGCATAAGGGGGCTGGCCAGGCGGTCACCTGCGGCATCGGGACAGGGGCCTGTGCGTCCATCCCTGGGACTGGGGCCCCTGTGCGTCCATCCCTGGGACCGGGGCCTCTGTGCGTCCATCCCTGGGACCGGGGCGCCTGTGCGTCCATCCCTGGGGCCGGGGCCTCTGTGCGTCCATCCCTGGGACCGGGGCCTCTGTGCGTCCATCCCTGGGGCCGGGGCCTGTGCGTCCATCCCTGGGACCGGGGCCCTTGTGCGTCCATCCCTGGGAACGGGGCCTCTGTGCGTCCATCCCTGGGACCGGGGCCTCTGTGCGTCCATCCCTGGGACCGGGGCCCTTGTGCGTCCATCCCTGGGAACGGGGCCTCTGTGCGTCCATCCCTGGGACCGGGGCGCCTGTGCGTCCATCCCTGGGAACGGGGCCTCTGTGCGTCCATCCCTCGGACCGGGGCCGCTGTGCGTCCATCCCTGGGACCGGGGCCTCTGTGCGTCCATCCCTGGGGCCGGGGCCTGTGCGTCCATCCCTGGGACCGGGGCCCTTGTGCATCCATCCCTCGGACCCGGGCCTGTTTGTCCATCCCTGGGACCGGGGCCCCTGTGCGTCCATCCCTGGGACCGGGGCGCCTGTGCGTCCATCCCTGGGACAGGGCAGGAGGGACCGGGCAGGAAAGACTCCGGGGTCGCCCGCCACCAGCCTGCGCGCAGCAGCTGGAGCAGTGATGTGGCGTCCACAGGGCAACTTGGGTGGATATTAGAGTCACAATGCTTTTCTGAAAGACATACGAGTAGATACTATAGCAAATGTATCACGTATGGACACAAAACAGAAATGTCACCTTTGTAAAAAAAAAAAAAAAAAATACGTGAGATCAACTTGGTGCGATCAGCCCAGGAGCAAGGCCGCTTGTGGGGACAGGCGGGGTCCGTGGAGCAGGACACGGTCGGTCCACCCTCCGCCCAGCTTCACGGGCTCCGAGGACAGGAGCCGAGTCAGCACCAGGCGCGGAGCGAGCTGTGCCCCACGACGGTCCGCCCGCGACCCCCGCGCGGAGCGGAGGCCGGGCTGGGCCGGAACCGAGGGGCCTGGCGGCGCCCGGCTGGGGCGGGGCGGGAGCGGGGGGAGGTCGGGGGGGGGGGGCTGCGGTCCCCTCGGCATCCCCGGCACCGGCGTCGCGCCCTTTTCTGTGGGAGCGGGAGGCGCAGGGCGGCCCTGCGGGGGCAGGGAGTTCGCCCCGCAGGTGGCGCCGTGGGCGCGGCCACCGGACCGCCGCGGAACTGGTTTGGGGTTTGGAGACCAGACGTGAACCTGCTTCCTTGACCCCCCTCTGGATACAGACGCCACAGAAGACGGCTCTGTGGTGTTTGCGGTTCCAGCGCCAGCGCCCAGAAAAGTCCCCGAGAGGCAGGAGCGGCTCCACGTCATCAACAGACACAAATTTAAAATGTGCTGCAGTCTCCGGCATTTCCTCTAGATGGCGACAGTCTCCACGGAATAGGAATTTCATTTCCATTTAAAATCATTTTTAAAAAACATTGCAGTACAGAATGCATTTTTAAAAAAATGTTGATGTTTCTGCTTTAGAACGAATTTAGAAATACTGACAGTCATAAAATCTCTGTCATAAAATCAGGTAGGTCGGGCAAATTGTTACATTTCACAGAAAAAGTTACAAATATGATATAACTGAACATTTACCTAAAAGGGGGCCCTGTGGCTTAGCTGGTCAAAGCGCCTGTCTAGTAAACAGGAGATCCTGGGTTCGAATCCCAGCGGGGCCTTCTTATTTGGTTTTGTGTTTTCAATAGTGTACATACCATTAAATAAGTTACAGAG